TAGACTGCTGTAGTTTTTGTTACGTATTTGCAGAAGTTAATGTGAACGTATTATCATCGTTTTAACAGTAATGGTATATTTGCACTTCAAAGTAAAAGTAAAAAATATACGATAATAATAATATAATATTAACAACAACATATTATACACGATGTATTGTTTACACTTTTTTATATACTTTTTTCATATATTTTACATTTTATGCAGTGTTACACAATTATTTATTAGACATTATTAACTTAGCCACAATATGTTTGGGTACATAAAAATATTTTTATTTTTAAATTGAGAGAGATTAATATAAATATTTAGGTTTACTTTTCTTTTGACACCAACAATGAATACAATGTTCGGGTACATCACATTTTTTTAAAATTTTTATTCAATTATTTTCCTACTCAAACGTGATTTAATCTTTTAAAAATATTTTTTATACATATTTAACATTTTATAATTTATTATTTATAATTTCTAATTAATTTTTTTCTAACCTTGAGCTTCATACATGTTTTTTTCTAAAAAAACGAAAATCATGAATAAACGATTATATATATCAGGGGTCGGCAACCCGCGGCCCGCGGGCCGCATGTGGCCGGGGAAGCAATTTTTTATGGTCCGCATAAAGGTGGTTAATTTTTGTGTTTTATTTTTGTTCATTACATTTTTCATACAATTTTCAATATTATTCAATTCTTTTTTCTTTATAAATAAAATGTTTATTATTATCTAATCGAAGTCGAAGATAATGATGGCTGCACAACTCAGTCATAGGATAAATTAAATATACTTATATATATTTAAAAATCAAAATTTTAAATATATTTAATCTATGTATATAATACATATGTATCTAATATATTTAATCTATGGTCATAGTTACTTTGCGTTTGTAGCAATTAGTATTATACCGTGATTACGCCCGTACATGTGACTGTTTGCGTTTGTAATAGTTTCATTTTACAAGTAAATCTAAACATTATGGCGACTAAAAAAAGAAAAATGTGTGATGAACATCGTTTTTTTAATAATTCTTGGGTTGATTTATATTACATAAGCAATTTTTTCCAGTAAAATTCGTATTTCTACACTCTCATATTTCTATGTAAAATAATCAAATATAATAGCAATAAAATTATTAGTATATATCATATGTAAAATTTTTTTTTTTTTAATGTGTCCCTTGATAAACATTTGAAAAAAAAATATGGCCCGCGTGGTTGAAAAGGTTGCCGACCCCTGATATATATTGTTAAATATATAGTTTTGATAGCCTTTAAAATAATTAATAAATTTTAATTTATTTTTATTCTGTTTCCTTTCATGGTCGAAATACTATGATACATAAGAATAATGTAACATACACACAACCTAACATGTAGACATTTATTTTAAATATTTGTTAAATATGTATAATTTATAACCTGTGTCAAACAAACATTTTTAACTAAAGTTTATGTTACTATTCAGGTTGGTAATGAGGTGGATAGGTGACAATGTTAATAGTAATTTATCCTTAATAATGTAATACGAGTATAATTGAAAGCACTATGATTTTTTTTCAATATTTTAAATTGAAAATTTTCATTGCCGCTTGTTTTTAATAAAAGCATTTTGAAAATCTTATCTTTGTGTGCTTTTACGAGTTATTACGAGTTTATTTTTAGTAAAATAATATTTTTTACATAATACACATATAAAAATAAATAAATTTATAAACAAAGGGAAAAAGCCGCTAGATGGATTTTTTATTTGGTTGAGTTGTTTTAATAATATAGATAACTACAACGGCTTCGCAAGGGTCAGCTTATTAATGTTAATGTCAAGTGTTATCTAGACGGCACATAAAATAAATGGTACACTGCTAATCGGCTGTTTAACTTTTAAATAGTGGTTAAAGTTTACATTTGTTATCGAAAAGTGTTTAAGAAAGCTATGCTTATAACAAAATATAACCCATGGCACATTTTATAGCGGTTATAATACTATAAATGTATGTTTATTATTAATAAGTTTGAAAAGTGACGAAATATCAATTTTAAAAATAAATTATATATTTTCAAAATAATTTATGCATAAGAGTTTTGTTTAGATATTATTAACATAGTAATTCGTTAAACATTTTTATTATTTTGAAATGGAGACATAAATTGTCTGATAAAAAATATTATATTAGGTATCCGGAGTAAATTAAACAAATACTATAATTTCGTTATTATCATAATATGATAATAACGAAATTGTATGTATGAAATCGCATATTATGCGACCATAGGTATATTTCTTCCTTTGGTTATACCAAAACATTGTTAGTTTAGAATAAGTTGTCAATTACGGAGGTGACGCTCTAATGATAAATACATAAAGTTAGAGTCGAATCAATTTGATACGATGTTCATTCGGGTGAAATGACGAATCAACATTGAAAATTGGCAGTTGTTCGCAGCGGCGAAAGTAAACAGTGCATGTGACTAAAAAACTATCCCGAGTCGAACACGAACGGGGTAGATTATTTTAACACAGTTATGTACATAGTATTTACAATTAATTGTAAACAATACAAATAATGAAGAACATTATTTACGTCTAAGATTAAACTTATTCTGGAATATCATTAAAGAATATTTTAATTAAATTCATTAGAAATTCGTTCGTCAAATAAATAAATTGCATAGATTCTTCATAGACACGACTTATAGAAAAATTATTAATAAATATAAATTATAAATAATTTATAAACCATTTACAATTTACTAGTTCAATAAGTAATTTTTTCAAGTAATCGAATATTTGATTTGGATACCCCCAATAAAAATATCTCTACAGTATTAATTTATAAAAAAAACATAATAAACTAGTACAAGTACTGAATATACTTAATAATTAATTAATATAATATGTACAAAGTGCAAATATTTGTTAATTGTTAGTGGTGTAGTATATAACCTTTCATTAAAATTAACACTTTATATTCGTCAATATAAAATAATAATATGATTGTATTGATGCAATATTATATTTTTATTATTTGAATCGTGTCCAAAGCTAAAGAATTCAGAAAAATTAAAAATCAATTTTTGATAAAAATTTAATTATTTAATTTTATTTATTTGGAACTTCAGTTTAAAATTAAAATCAAAATTAAATAATAAAAAATTTAATAAAAATTAAAAATGGTCAATTTTCGTGAATTAATATATAAATAAATAAATAAATACTTAGCATGAAGTATTATTATATTTATAAAATATGACCGGTTAAAATGTATTATCAGATATATACAAAGTTAATAAAATCGTGACTAAATATGGACAAATAAAAGAAGGAATACATTGATAAAAATTAGTTGGCTTACAGAAATAAATATCTATATGCTCTTTATATGCTCCAGATTAAGTATTGATTTATTTATGTATACATGAAATTATTGTTGGAAAAAATTGAATCATCACACTACTATTTTTAGTTAAGGATTGTTAATTTAAATTATTAATCAATCTATTATAATTTGAAGTTACCTTTGGAAAAATATTGATTTATAATAAAATTAATAACCGAAACTACTAATAAAAAACTACATTTTAAAAGTATAGTTAAGTAATAATACAATATGATATAATGCAGACTGTAGTTATTTGTTAAAATATTTTATGATTATATTTTATTTCGACTTCTTTATGCTAGTAATAAAAATAATATTAAACATTTATTTTTAAAATACAACAAAACTCATACAAGTTAATATATTTATTTCCAAGAGATTATTTATAATTATTTTAATTTTTAATTTAAATAAAATACTTGATTTTGATATTTTTTCTCGAAGCATTATTTCTATATAATGTACTATTATTAATATTGCTAATTATCATAAGGTTAAAAATAAATTGCATTTTATTTTTTAATACAATTATGGTTTATAAATGAGAATGATAAAAAATGAATGATAAGTATTTTAGTAATGAAAAAATAAATACATACTTTAAATCTAAATTTGCTATAAATATTAATTGACGTGGGTCTTAAATCGTTTTATCGTAATATACATAATTTATTGTGACACTTGTATATTCGATCGAACTTTAATAAAATACAATTCTATGTTCTGTCCCAATAAAAATATATTTTTGACGCGGTATACTTAAAAAGGATGTTCAGGATTCAACAAAATGAAAATATAAATAATATCATATTACTGTATTGGGATGATAGGGTTGTGATCGGTAATACGGGCAAGTGCTAGAGTGGACTTAGACATGGGTTAAAGTTATACCATATTCTGCTGTATTTGTATAAATATAAGAGATGACCAAGAAAGAAGTAACAATATCTTTTGATACGAGACCCAAAACGTTATCGTTTTACAATTCTATAGTTTTTACTTATGGAAATTTGAATAAGTGTGGTCTTATGTAATTGAGAAAAGATACAATAAAAAAAAAAAATTAATTAATCGAAATTTAATTTACTTAAGGCCTACTATACTAATATAGTAATAGGGATTACTATTATTTTTCTTTTGGTTTTGATTAAAGCATTAAACAATGTACATATATTTAATTTTATAAATATTCCATTACGATCAAAACAATAGAACTTCATTAGTATTTGACACTATTCACATTCAAGTAATACATTTTTATTTTATTCGTGTAATAAGTACACGTGTATATAATATGATGCCGTTATTGTGCTGTATTCATCTGGTGAATTTTTTCCAGTTACTATATTAGAATTTACGAGTGAAAACGTTTCCATCACAATTATATCATTATCTCCCGTAGTGCAAAACACATCCAGTATCGGAAACAACGGAAACACCTGCTGGGTAGGATTTATAATATTATAATATAGTTATCTTTTGGAGCGTAATGTACACAGATGCACCTGATGGCTTTAGCAGACACAGGTACCTCGCAGACGTCAATTACATGGCTTTTATTTTTCAAGAATAGAGTAAAACGTGAAGTTTATTCATCCTCTTCGGATTATATTATATTTACCATATAAAAAAAGGCAGCCAACACGCCAGAAACGCGGACATAATGATGCCTAAGGTACGAGCCGCTTTCCTTTCGCGTTTCATTTTGTTACTAGAAGCTGCCGGTCGAAATGCGCCCGAGTCCGGATCCGTTTCCACGTCCACGTCTTTCACGGCATCTGATGTAGATAGAGCTCCCAGAGCACTTATTCCGTTTATCTGCAAGTGCTTATTTAACAATGCGGCAGCCACTTTACTCCTAGAAAAAAAAAAAAAAACGTATTTTGAACTTAATGTTTCGGAGTTGTTGGATTATAATTGGTGTTGCAATACAATGCAGATATTTATTGACTGTCGACGTAGCGTTAGTAAAAGTAAAGTGTACATTTGTACAGTAGCGCGTGTGTAGGTGTATTTGGTCCAAATCGTTATTATTTTATTGTTTTCCATCAAGTATCTACAATTTTATTTATTACATTTTTTTTTTTTAGATAACGAAACAGTTCGACGTGAGAATACGTTTAGTTGATTGAGCGTTTATTGATTAATCGAAGATAAATCGCTTTAATGTCAAATAACTCCTAAAGCAACGAGGATAAATGCAATATCGGTATACACCGTATTAACCGTTAGATATATAAAATATACATTTTTGTATGGAACGTTCGCATTAACTTTTCAGTCGCTCTTGATTAGTTATAAACTAAAAAAGGGTCGCACGCATTTGACGGATGTTAATGTTAATCAGATAATGTTTTTAGGAAATTCAATTTTCCTTTTTTTTTCATTATGTTTGACACATTTATTATTTTCTCAGAGTAGTTAAGTTTGCAATCTCGATTCAAAAGAAGAAGATAAAGAGAGAGAGAGAGAGAGAGAGAGAGAGAGAGAGAAAGACAGACAGATGTTATTGATTACGTGGACTGTTAGAAATAGTGCCATATTTCGTAAAACGACTTAAATTCGAATTGAAATACTTCAAACGATTGATATTTTCAAACACCGAATTGTATTATTCTTTTAAGGTTCCAAAACAGCTCAATAGCTCACCGATTTTGCATTAAATAGTCCGGTAAATCGAGTAATCGACTATTAAAACTTAACTTTCAATTATGATTTTTGTTATTTACAACCAAAATAAAATATTTGTCTGCATAAATCTATTATTTAACGTAGGGAACCAAAATTAACGTAAGTAAATAAATGTTTTATTTATAAAATTAATAGTTGAAATATTAATAAATAATCATATATATTATATATTGAAATAAATAAATTAATTAATTAATAAAAGCTTACCCTGGAGTATTATTATATTTGTAAAGTTCGATCGGTTTTGAATTAAAAATGCATCGTCAGGTATATACAAAGTCAATAAAATCACGAATAGAAATAGAATAGAGTAAATATGCTCACACTCTGCGATGTTCGGCTCTTGGTCTAGTCTACTCAGTAGCTGAATACTGCGCATCCATTTGGCTAAACAGCGCTCATGTGGCAAAATTTGATACCCAACTCAATACTACCTTGAAACTAATATCTGGAACAATAAAATCGACATCTACTCACTGTCTCCCAACATTAACAGCAATTAACTGCCCCTCTCTTATTGATGATGCGACCAAAACACGATTGAAGTCTAGAAACCCCTCATCAAAAACAGCTTAGGATCTAATCAACACAAACTTCGATATGATGATGAACTGGAAGTAAACATGGGCAACCACGGTAGAGAACGATAAGATCCTAGGTAACATGTGGTGCACACTTAATAGAATACGAACTTTGTATGGTAGATATGCAGATTCCTTGCAAAAATGGGATATGAGAAACTCACCAGAATGTGACTGTGGAGCGGATAAGCAGCTATCTACCATATAGCTTTTGTATGTCCTATACACGTCTATTGAGGTCCCAGAATTGACTGTCTCACAGCCCCTCTCATATTTATTAAATTGCTAGAACTTAAACTCTAGTACCAAATATATTGTTTTGTTACCCTAATAATATTACTCTAAAATTATTCACAGTTAACTATACTATTAAGTACACTTCTTTTGTTTTATTTTTATTTTTATATACGCATTATCAGGGACCATGGTGAGAGTCATCAACCATGTTGTTAATATTATTCATTCAGGTTTTCGTAAATTTATGCTATAGGTAATATAAATTTTAATGCTTGAGTTTATTTTTTATTTTCTTTATCTGACAGTAAACAAACAGATAACAAGATTCGTTTTAGAAATTGTATTCATGACGCAACTGTATATAGTAACGCCGAACAAAGATGCTGTCCTTAGTCAGCCCATATTTTAATATTCTAAACGGTAAATTATAAATGTCCAATTTTTACTTAGACACTAATTTAGGCCATGGTTTGATTGTTCTGTGTTTCACTTGTGTTTTGTAATTATCACTACACTTATACCTATGAATATTGTAAGTGATGAACTTAAAAGAATGCAATTATTATTTAATATTTCCGTTAATATTGATCTTTTATTTTATACTCGGAAATATACTGCATATCAATATAGGCTGTAATCATCTTTGCCACCGAATTAAAATTTTCTTATACCCAATCACAAAGATTCAATTTCATATTTACATTTTTATTTAACTACATTTTAAGCAGAATAATATAATACGGGCAACAGATAGTAGTCAACGTTCAATTGGAAGCTACTAAATAGCTAGTATTTTTACTTATAGTAATTTAACTAACTTGCGATCAGCATCTCAAATAATAGTGAAACCACATGTTTTCTTGCTTTTTGCGAGTTAATGAAAAGAAGTAAAAATAATTTTATAAATATAATATTTGAAACTTTAGTAATTACAGTATTTCAGTATAAGAAATCTCGGCTATTCAAGCGTGTGTACAGGAGTGCACAGAAAAGATACAGTATTATTAATGAAAAAAAACACAAATTAATTTCTTTTGTTAGGTATTGTTTTGTTTCAAGGAAAATGCCAGTTCTTTATTTTTTCAAAAGAAAAAATAATCCATACTATTTTATCATGTACAAATTATTTTCACCATTTTCTTTTTCGACTATAATAAAAGTGTTATAAAGTTATTTTTAATACATTTTTTTTTAAAATTTATATAAATCAATAGTTGTGAATATTTACTTTGAAATTTCAAATAATGACTAAGTTTGTTGAAATTCGTTATTATTATTATAATAATGAAGGAATGGTGTTATATTATTATAATATAATATCTAAGTAGAGATGCATATATATAATATAAAATTATACGAATCTAACATAAATATAACAGAGAATATTGATGATTTAAGAAAATTTTGGAAAACCAGCAAATAATAACAACATAATAAGTTGTTGATATTATTAAATCATATACACGTATACATATTTTATGAGTGATTGATCATTTAAGGTGAAATCATTAGTTCCTTTTTTTTGTTAATTGTTAGTTTGCCAATTTAAATTAAATAAAATGAATAAGAAAGTATTATTTGTTAATTTATGAACTCTTCTATATTTATCATAATAAACCTAAGTTTTATATTGAAAATATATTTGAATGAAATTACACCGAATAATTTATTTGTATTTAGAAATAGAGAATACATCATTTTTCACATAAGTAATCCTTAAGTAAATATAATAAAACATCGAAAAGCTAATTAAATGATCATAATAGAGTAAAATAATTGATGAAAATATCTTTCGCCACGTAAAAGTATTTTTATTTAGGATTATAATATATGTTAATATTTTGAAATACATTATAAAAGCAGAGGATTATATAATTTAATTGCAAGATAATAATAACTTTATATTCATAATATTTAAATGGTTCAAGTTTTTTTTTTTTTGTATGATTTGAAAACTGAAATGTTTTTGAAACTAAATGGGTTGGTAAGTAGTCATCTAAATAGTAATAATAAATGTATATCATACATCGTTTATATCATAATAAAATAATAAACATGAATAAGAAACTATTGCTTAATTATTGTCACAAAACAATAATATTTTTAAGTTATAGAAATAAAAACTGCTTAGTTTTAAATTAAAACCGGAAAAATGCATGAATTTTATCTATTAAAAATATTGTCATGTACATAGGAAATTTATATCACGTCAATAAATCCCTTTAATAATTTGGGGTCTGTAAACTATCGATTTTAAAGTTTAGAACAATATAATTACCAAAATTGATATAGTTATAAAATAGGGTAGGATATTTTTCCCGCTTATCTCGTAATGTTTTTGTAGTTATTTTGCTTTATTTATAACGCGTGGATATTAATTAATGCACCGATTGTGGATTCTAATATTTAAGGCTATAATTATTATAAAATAAAAATCACATGAAATTTTATAAAACATAACATTCGCACTGATCACTTTATATAATTTTGTAAACATAAGAGCTTTTGACAAGATAAGGCATTTGTAATTTTTATTTGCAGTTATTGCGAAGCAATAAAAATATATCCAAGTTAAAAAAAAAAAAAAAACCGATAAATTTCAAAAGTCAATGTACGTATGGTTGAACTCCTATGAAAGTTTAATGTGATTCACGATATCATAACACACAAATCTTCAATGTATATCTCAAGCTTTGATGTTATACGTCATGAATAAAAATGAATCATCAAACAATAATAATAAAATTTAAAATCAAAATGACGAAAAGCAATAAAAAGATTGTAGATCATAATTGTACAAATAATGAGTTGCTTCATTAAAAATATAATTATCACAATTTCAATAAAATTCAATGTGTGGTTGAGTTTGTATTACAATTGAAAGTCTAGAATTAGTATATTTCAATAAATTGCTTATCCAAAAAAAAAATATTTATTTATATATATGGTTATTGTGCTTAAATATAGTATTATGTACTTAAAATAAATTCAAATTTAAAAATGATGTATAATAAATATTTATTTTTGTTTTAGAGTCAATAAATTTACGAGAAGGTTCATCGCTCAATGAATTTCAAGTTTAATGCTTTTCATATTTCAAACTGCGTACTGATCATTTATCATCAGAAAAAGTCAATAGTGGGATTACTCCTGGTCCCGATCGGCGATCGGTAAAGATGATCAACGTAAATAATATATTTTTTTGTAGTATAATACACGTACGCAGTAATATTATTATATTGATCAATGATTCTTCTAATGCATAGGAAGCTATTATTTTGAATCATCAAAGAGACAAAACAATAAGTTTACTTTATGTAAACAAAATAAATACATAGATACTTTACAG